ATATTTTAGTTTACAAAGTACTTTTCTTAATAATAAATTAGAATTTTTTGATTATATTTTATATACTATCATTAAAAATGATAGAAAATCAACTTGACTTAAATTTCATATTGGTGAAATAATTAAAATTGAAGAAGAAAGTGAAGGTCTTACATATGCAAAAATACAAGCGATTTTACAATATTAAGCAAATAATAATAAATCTGCAATTTTCTTTGTCTTAAAATAGCTTCAAGCAACCAATACAAAAGACTTGATTTTAGACTACCCATATTACAAACAAATAATGAATAATCAACAATTTCTTCGAATTTATCCAATCTCATATATTCACCGTATTCAAAAAATTCATTTTTTACCTACATGCATGCAAAATTATGATCAAGAGCATGCTATCAATAATGATCAAAAATATATTAAAAATAAGTTTTTTATGAGACTATATAAAAACCGTAGTGCTTGCTTATTTCTATAAAGTATATACATATATTTAATTTAGTAAAAATAAATTTTTGAAATTTGTGATTAGATTTAATTTATATTACAAAATTGTTAGATGAAGTAATATTATATCAATATATACAAGAAATAGAGATTTATCACAGATATATAAAGAATAAATAGATTATTTATTTAAATAAGAATAAAAGTTTCTTATTTCATTTTGTCTTTTATTATACAATTTTTTTAAGTTTTATACTACAGTACTAAAATTTTTACGATTCAAAGTCATGCTTAAAACTTAACAATCAGAATTAGTTATATATCTTAATTCAAAAATTTAATAATGCTATTCTCAAGTTATAACAAAAAAAACTTTCAAATTTGATTAAATAATCTAATATATCTCTAATATATACGTATTAAAAATATATCTAATTGAAACTTATTTAAATTTTTTATCTGCAGTAATATAATAATAGTAACTATTGCTATCAATAAGCATTTGATAATTAATTTACATAATAGTGAATATAACTATTATGCTATTCTTATCTCTATTTACTTTTTTGCTAACCAGTTTTATATTTTAATAAATCTTGAACTGGCAAATAAGTGACAACACCAAGTACAGTTGGAATTGGCAAGTTGACAGTAATTGCATCACAACTACGAAGTGCTACTTTCATATCAGTTTTCTCTAATTTTGAAATAATAATTTTCTTAATAGCTTCTCGAACAAAATCACCCAAAGCATTCCATATTTTTTTATTACTACGAAGAGCAGGCTATTCTGTTGCTTCAAGAAATTGAGAAAGTATCTCACACTATATATTCTCAGAAATAAAGTCCAGAAGTTAGGCATTGGTAGAAGCAATATTATTATAATTTAATAGTTAATATTAATAATTGTTTAGTTTTTAATTTTCAATTTTAGTATTTACTACTAGTGGTGATACCACCACTTCTTATATATTGTTTTTAGGTTTTTAGTATTCTAACCATTTTTACTTAATACTCCTAACATGAGTTAGCAAGTAAGTTTTTGAGATATAGTATCCCAGTGATATCACCACTGGTGGTAAATAGCAATATTCATTATTTTTTATTTTTAAAACTTATCCAAATTGATTCAAATATTCATTAGCTCTCTTTCAAAGCTTTGCAAGAAGGCGATAACAATAATCATCAAAGCAACTACCAATCTTCTTAATTAATGCTGGCATCTGCTTGTCAACTTTGGAGATACCACATAAAGCAGATGCTAATTTAGTATACAATGCAGTAGTATTATTCCTTGTTCTTAAAAATAATGCTTTTGCTTCAAGTTCTAAGTTTGCTATCATTGTCTATTTAAATTTATAATTATATAGTTAAAATTAAATAAATAAATAAATAAATAAAAAAATATTGCAAAAAAATAGCAAATATATTCCTGATCTGGTACTAAAGTAATTAATGACATTCTATCACTCAACAAAAACTTTAATTTTGATGAAGATTCTTGAGAATTTTCCAAAGTTCATAATATTGTATTGTATATCTCAAATACTAAATCAAGTATATGTGGTATTTAGCTAACCAAGTAGCAGCTTCAAATTCACTTGAAATTCCTTAAAGTTCATCTGGTTTTTGTGAAATTTGCTGATTGTATAGTTAAATATTAATTAATATTCAGAATTCTTAAGCTAATAACTTTGTTAATATCTATTAATTACTTACAATAAAAACTCTTTCTGTCAATCACTTACACAAAACTTAACTAAAAATTCGTCAGTTAAATCTTTAATAGCACATTAATTTACTAAAACAACCACTCTCAATATCTTAATTAAATTTGCTCAGCTCTTAATTTTACATATATCTTAAAAGTTTCAAGCTTCTATCTTAAAAACTCATAATATAACGATACTA